TAAACATGTCGGACACCGCCTACGACAGACTCGCTCAATTTGTTCTGCGTTCATTTTCCACAACGCGACTGATTAATGTTTTTGTTAAGCTAATGAGGCTCGTGCCGCGATGCTTAATCAATGATGGATATGCTGTAACGCCCAACACTTTAAAGATCCTAACAAGATATATTTTGCGTCTTGAATTCTAGGAAATTGTGATTTTTGGTTTACATCACGCATATTGTTTGATGATTATTATCTCTACATTTATATCTTTTTTAGATCGCGACGAATCCGAAGTCTTATATTCTTAACCGAGTAAAGTTTGTTAATGTGATTTGTTTGTTTCTTTGATGTAGGAAATACACTAATTCGTTTGATTTTAAGTTCTTATATGTTTTAGGAAAACTGACAAAATGTTGTCAAGAAACGTTAAAATTCTGTAATTAAAAGTTTTAAGCGCAGAATGCTTTCCATAATGATTTTTATAAAATGGTTACGGTAAAAGTTTAATGCAAGAAACAATCGTTCCAATTTTTGTGAAACAATAATTTTGCGCTGTAAAAGCATTGCAGAGAATCGTGCAATGTCCAGGTCTATTCATGGTTTCTAACGAACCGCGGAAAATTGTACAATAGAGAATTGTACAAGTCTAGGTTCAACAACGAGGACAGAGCATAAGACTATGACAAGATTGCTTTAAAATTCAACTCTATTTCATTTGTGTAAGTTTTATAATCAATTGAAAGTACAGCTTACAAATCCAATAGTTTTCGTCTATTGCTTTTTTATATTGTCAAGTTTGCTAAAATAATTAATAACAGAATTGACTAATGACTTGATATAGATAGAAATCTCTTGCTATTAATTTTCATAAGGCGTTAAATAGGTTGTATAGAATATCGTTTAAAATGAAAACTCCTAAGGAAAATATTGTTACTGTATGATTGCGTAAAATGGAATGGATTGGAATTCTCGTAAATTTAAAAAATGTTGACAGTTCGTTCTATAATTACTAACTTATTCACTTGGACACTCGTAATTTTACACCATATGTTGTGCTAATGGGTAAATACAATCATAGTGCGCATATCTAACGTATTTTTCTTATATTTCTGTATACAATTATGCACTTTAACGAGGACAAAAATGCTAAGAACTTAAAATCTGTTTGATTGGGACAAGCAAAATAATTTGAGAAAAATTCTTCTTAGAGGCATTGATATTATTTACGTTTATGAAATGTTTGTGAAATGCAAAATGCATTATAAAACAAGGATTTGACCAGTTAACATTCCGCCATTGATACTTTCATTTAAACTTTTACATTTTAAATAAATTAGTAAGATTAGTTTTGCGTAAAATTCACTGAGACATTTTAATTTATTAAGGTAAAATAACGAAGCAGGTCGGTGGTAAAAAAATAAAATAATTTGAAATGAGCAGCGGTCCTTAAATTATGCCTCGTGCTTAATTAAGGAGTAATTGTGTTTAATGAGGTCGTAAATAACAGAATGCAGCGGGACGCGCGCTTCGTCTGCGATTTTCTTTGTTCTGCAAAACATTTATTTAAAACTAGCTGTCGCCCGCAACTTCGTCCTCAATGAATTAAAAAAAACAGTAGCCTACGCGTTCTTCTATGTTCTATATCTATGCCAAATTTTAGCGTGATCTATGCAGGCGTTCTCGATTTAAATTCAAACAATCATCCATCCATGTAAACATTCGCATTTATAACATTGGTAAGAAGTAAAATATAGTAAGATATAAAATTAGGTAACTGTTACCAAATAGTGAATGCCTCAAAAAGTTTTGTTATCACTTAAAGAAGTTAAAGAACTAAAATTAGTAATCTAGGGTACAGTCGTACGTATTACGGAGGTAGTTACTATTACAAGACTAGTATTATTAACATGATGAAAATCTGTTTGTCGATTATGAATGTAGGAAATAAACTACAAAGTATTGAATTTTCATATGTTTCTTTTTTTATTTTATTCATCAATCGTAATGATTAATTTAGAGGGATTTGGTATGGCCTAGGGCTTTCGTGAAGTTGTTAGAAAATAAAGGAAAATATAAATTAAATATTATAAGAAATCGGTAGAATAGTCCACATTGTAAAGTAACCTTTGAGTTAGTACAATTGCTAATGCGGCCCGGAATGCGGCAGAGAAATTATGTGTAACTAATACCTTGCTTAGGCTTCGTACCAATAATCCCTTTATTAGCAATTAACATTCTAGTTTTTTACAAGCAAACATCATTACTTGTAAAGTAATTGCATATATTTAAAGGACATTTAGTTACGTGTAATTTTTTTTAAAAAGTTCTGCATTATCTATATTGATTTCCAACTAAACTAAAACTTGTACAAGTTAGATTTTTTTTTAAATAGCAAAAGGTGTCAATCAAGCGAACGGTCTCTTGACTTCGCCAAAATAGTGGAATTACATTAGCCGCTTTTATAATCGAATGACTTGGATAATTAAATTGTTCTTGATGGTTTTTGATAAATACTACATTTTTACATTAAAATAAATGTGTACAATTACAACTAGTAAAAAACTCATCGAACAAGATATACACCGTATGACGCACGTTTTACTGGCATAGTGGACACGTTATGACCGACACGCGTACATCCAATTATTTGCCGTTGTATAATTGACAGCCCTCGATTGGAATGATAATTTTATGTAACACATGAATGATCGATTCATTATATATTTTTAACCACACAACCATCTCACGATTCCTTCTGATTGTACAGTCAGCTGCATTAATAAGTACATTACCAAAAAATATTAGAACTTCGGCATCAAAAATACGAATGCACGTATTCGTCATTAACACGTATATAAGGTCGGAAGCATACGAATAGATAAGTGCATACATATGTTTTTAAAAAGGAAGGCGTATACAATTGTCTGAAGCTTTGTAAATGTATACCTATTTATGCAGCTGACTGTACTCGAAAGTGTCATGAGACAATGGTCTGTCATTAAGAGTGGTTCTATTGGGTCGTTGGTTATTGTTTCTTCGTATGTTTAAATCTGATGGAATGTTTAATTACCTTATTGTACAATGGTAGTATCATTTTCCATGTGCTTATTTAATACTAAAAATGCATTTTCTAATACAAACATATTTTGAATTGCCCGCTGCATATTGGACTTACAACAAATAAACTCTGCTACCGTTGTTAACTTATTAAATCCAAATCTGATAATAATTTGTTACTTATACATCAATGTTTTGTTTATGACATTGTAAATATTAATTACTCCGAAAGAGCACATTAAGTTAAGAGACATTGACTCGTTCAAAAGAAATATGTTTCGATAAATATTCGATAAATCGATAAAGCGAAAAGTTTATGTTTTGTGTCGAATTTTGATTGCGAGCAAGATAAAGCCTTTATCACAAACCGAAACAGAACCTGTCTTGTCTGGTAAATATATCCAGAAATGAATTTACGTGGGCGTTTTAATCATCTTTTTTCCTTTGATGTTTTTAAATTAAATTAATTCCAACTTTTATCACAACGGAAGTCTTTTGAATGGTTATTTCTTATTAATCCCACAAAATGTACCGATTTGAAGTACTATCTATTATCTTTACAAGTTATTATTTTATAATTAAAGTAGCTGTTTCATGCAGCTAGTAATTCCGATTTCACCCCGGTAAGGACTGTTATGTCGCATTAAAAACAATCGTCTATTGGAAACAACTGCAGCCCTTAGGCTTTACAATGATATGAAGGACAATATATCCCTTATTGTAGATTTCTCATCAAGGCGAGTTTGTGATGGTCGATGAAATGTCTCTAAGTTTGATTCTAAGAATTCACTTACATTTCCTATTACTTGTTTGTAGAAGTCACAGGTTTCGGGCAACTAACTAATGAGTTGATTTGAGCTAATAAGCCCTTCCCGTTAAATTTAAATTACTTCATTTTACTTTAAAACTGGGGACAAATATAATTAAATTAGAAGACGAATATTTAATATAGTAAGTATTGCAAGTTGTAAAGTGTAGGATCCAATTTATAAGTATATCTCTTTACTTAAACATACGAGTGAATATTTCCGGAAAGTATGTAGCCTGCGCGACCAGTACTCAATGCTTTACGTTGACTGCATTCCTTTTCGTTTAAATTTGACTTGAAGAACAAGTCTTATAGGAAGCAATTATTATAATCAATCTCGAGCAAGATAAGAAACATGCCCTGTTTTAATTAACAGTTGACGACAAAATTCTGGATCATATCGTTACTCGATTAAAAAAAGCTGTGATTCAACACCAGTTTTAATGCAATTCCACCGTGTATAAAATGATCGAAGAATAAGTGGATGAAGGTATTAAGAATATATCAGTACTAACTACTGCCCGCGACTCTGTTCGCGCGGAAATAGAAAAAACTTAGCTTACGTGTTCGTCCAGGCTATGTTTTACATCTATACCAAATACAGCGTGATCCATGAAGCACTTTTGAAATGCCTTCTAACAAACATCCATCCATCCAAATATTCGCATTTATGATATTAGTAAAATTGGTATTATGGGATGGTTTTAAGATAGAAGAAGCATAACGACTAAGGTCTGCCAAGACAGAAGTTGTCTTAAGGCGATTAGTCACTAATTAGTTACATAAAAAGAATAGTCATGGACACTCTTATTTCACGTCAATATATATTTTTTTAATTTATTTAAAAACTGCATAGCATCCTTACAGTATACAACCAATTTGACACTATACACACTTTACATAACAGTTTACACAATAACATATTTTATAATAACAGTAAATAACACATAACAATGATAAATAAAAAGAAAAAATACATAGATAAACAGTGCAAGAATATATCAACGCGTAACTAAACATCAATATTCAAACGTTTATAAATACTTTTTGGTACTTTAATAAGTTTAAGGATTAATTAAAGGTCTACTAGATTACACCAAAGTCTGTCAAAGTCATAACCGAATAAAAATAAAAGCATTAAAATTGTTGCATTTAGAATGAACTTTATCGCATAGATTTAGATTCGGATAACATGTCTATAGATAAGTGCGTTCGCGAAACGAGCTTTAGGGTCCTCTAGTTAATTAGTACAGAACCACTTTGTTACGTTAATTAATTAGAGTAATGCCGTAAATGCAAATGAGTTTACTTGGTTCTAGAATATTGTTTGTTGTTAATTAGGACTTAGAGCTCCTGGGAATGTAAAGGTGAGTGTAGTGAAGTCAAGCTACGTATTTAGATGCCTACGATTCCCCTTTGAAAACTGTTAATTAAAGAGATGTGTAGTTGTGTTACTGAACTTTGATAAAACTTACCAAAGAAGTGCTTCGTTTCTGACTATGATAAATGTACTTTTGCCCCCTTATCTTTTAAAAAAATTATGGTTAGATCTTCGAGTGAGTAATTCTTCGTAGAATTAGAAATTAGAACATTATAAAAGTAAGCAAATATGAAGAAAAAAGATCATATCATAGACATAGGGCGGAAATGTCAAATGTCTGAAACCATAGATATGATTTTTTTATTACCAGCGTCATTCACGTAACACGATTTTCACGTCGCCATTTAATGTGTATCGGGTGGCGGCTGGTCGTTTAATGGTCGCAAAAACCTCGTCGCGGACGCCTTGTAATGCGACTGGACTGAGGAGGATGTTGAAATACATTCTCACGTAATGCGCACTTACCACTTTTTGTTTTAGACCGCTGAGATTGTTGAAGCATGACGAATATGCGGACCGTTTTCGGCTTCAAGAAAAACTTAAAGATAAAGTTTTATATATCATTATCAAATCGAGATACAACGTATAGATTTTTCTTGGTTTAGGAAACAACAATCAACTCATTTGACTTTTGGTATGCTGTCGCTTTAAAACATATACCATCGAAGCAACTCTGAAGTGCAGAACACAATATAACTTAGTGGTTTGATAGCTGTATGCAAACTATTACCATCAAAACCAATCAAATAAGTACAGTGTATGTTATGTTTGAAATTTTGTAAGCGGCGTGATGCCGCAAATTGGAGTTTTTACAGAAGCAATTTAGATTAAATCTATTGATACAATAAGTATTGAGCTGATGTAAATGAGTTAGATTCAACGCAAAAGTTTTAATGGAAATTACAGTAAGAAACAGCAATAACTATAAAAACTCAGAAATATAATTCTTAATAATTTTATGATGATTCGGATATAAAGATTATAATGTTAAGCTAGAAACACAACGTTATTAATTATATTTAATATGTAAACTGTTTTGATAAAACTTATGGTGATCATGTTACTGTCGTCCGAGTTGAGGATATTCAAACTTAATATAATATATTATAGCAAATTTATACTGAATATCTGAGAGTGGAGTTATGAGATTGTATTTTCAAGTTTAAATGTGTGGGCGTGGGCATAATGAAAGATTATAACAGCGTCAATAAAACAGCGCAAACGATTAACTTTTGCATCCCACTCTTCTTTGATGATCACAACATATATCATATGAATCTTATTGTATTTCAATGAATTTAAACAATAGCTTGTTGTAATAGTAACTAGTTTACGTTACGTTACGCTATTTAATGTTATAGTTAACGATCTATCATGACAATAGTTCATGGTTTAAAGACAGGCAAACTTATCTGACCCGGTGAACATGAGTCATATTAAATTATAAAAGCACACTAGTCCATAACGTTTTTACGATTTTATGATGATAGTTTATAAATACTATTTACACTGTAATATATTACGAAAGGCAGAGTGAAAACATTTCCGCAAGGAAATAGCTTCTGAAATGTTCTTCATATTAATACGAGTACGAAAGCTGTTGTATTCAGGAAATGCTATTTACGTCCGCTTGGGATGTTGTTAAAATATATCATGCCTTATGTAAAACTTATTCATCATTATTTATAAAATAATTTTTATACAATTTGCTTCCAAATGCAGTTTGTTTTTCAATCACATTAATAAAGCGATAAAGATATATGAGTCGTCATGTTATGCAAGCTTTGAATATCCCAATATATGCCTTTCTAACAGCATCTCAGTCTCAACAATACGTTTACAAAACTGACGAACTTAAATTTATGAAGATTAGAGGATAGTGACCCGCGGGTCGATCTTACCTTTCCAATACTTTAAACATATTTATGACCATTGGCGCCAAGTGACATGCGACGTAAAAACAAAGGTAAAGCATTGCTTATTATACTCGTATGGTATTAGTATGTAAACATATTCAAATTATGCATCCGATGGGATCATAAAGAAAATAATAAACGCCGTTTGTTTATGGTAACCGGTAAGTTACGTAAACTATATTGAAGTGCGTACTTATCGCATTTGCATCTGGAAAATACATTTTTACGACCAAAAACAACAAATTAAAGGTCGGAAAAATCTCAAATAAAAGTATCAAATTCAAATTATGTAGTGAAAAGAAAACTAATTAAACTTTTGTATTTAAACTAAACTAACTAAATAGAATATTATTGCTATGATAACATTCTGAAGTGTACGATGTGTAATCCTAGCTTCATATCTTGTTTCAACTGACAGATCAATTAATTTAATGCACGTCTCATATATATTCCTGTAACGTCTGCAAAATCTAGTTCAATAGTTTACATGAATTAATATTCCCTAGATATAACATTAAACTGACTTTAAATAATACTAGCTGTCACCCGCGACTCCGTCCGAGCGAAATTAAAAAAAAACATAATAAGTAGCCTATGTGTTCTTCCAGACTATGTTCTATATGTATCACAAATTTCATCAAGATCCGTTCAGTCGTTCTGTAGATACGTTCAAACAAACATCCATCCATCCATCTAAAAATTCGCATTTATTATATTATTATAGTAAAATTACGTGAGGATGGTAACAGCATTCCTTTGTTTTGTTGCATTGGATTAAATGATAAACGCAGTTCAATATCTTCAAACATAGACGTGACCATCTTAGAAAAGTATATCGTCATTTTAGGCTGGAAATACGACTATTTTCCCAAAAAGCTACATAAAAGTTTTACAAAGAGATATGAAAGCAGAATAATAGAATTAGACTTTACTGTTGTAACTCAAACAGTAAGCCCTCAATGGCGGGTACACGACGTGAAATGGAGGTTCGCCAGTAAACAAAGCCTCGGCGCTCGATTTATTGGCTGAATTCTTAGATGCGAAAATAGTTTAACAATAGCAAGTAACAGCAGATTTGGATGGACGTCGAAGTGATAAACATAAAAATGTTAAAGAAAAATGTTAATAGAAAAATGTATACAAATATATACAAACAATCTAAACTTACTTTCTTTATTTGGTGACTATAATTGTGATTAAAGAATGTAATTCGTATTTGAACATTGTTAGCAAATATTTAATATATCAAGTAAAAGTTTCGATGTTTGTGACGGATCAAAAACGTTTGATTAAAATCTTCAATTTAGGACGTGGACGATACAACATTTTCTACGTTTAAAAACGTTTCTTAACGTCAAAAAGTTATTGTCATCATTTAAGCTACAATTTTTATTACGATACGTATCAAAACCATAAATAAATAAGGTTTATAATAATAATCTGACGCTAATCCACGGGTCATGATGTCTCGTATAACCAACAAATACATTACCAGAATCACATTTGAAAGGCGACGCATTGTCGTCGAACCTCCGAATTAGGCAAAATAAATTAATAAATTAGCCTAACGTCATTCAATATGTTTTTACGTAAAAGCCTTCATCAGAAGCTCTGTAACATGGTCGCGTGCCGGAATTATGCATGAGGTAATAAAACCTACGAAACTTCTTTGAATTTAAATTTCGAATTTTTATAACTTTTAAAAAAACAAATTCTTCGATCAAAAATCATTCACAGATAAGTTATAGAGTCTGTAAATTAATTTTTATTTTCAATAAACCCTATTGTTTTTTTTTTGTCAGCTTTTTCAAATTTATTTATGTACTACAATAGTAATTGTTGCTTTGCATATTAATTACGCAAATAAATTACCTATGTATTTCTTAAGCAAACGACCATTAACAGGGCCGTACTGGGCATGTGTCAGTGTCCCATATATCTTTGGACATACAACGTCTATCAATTACGTTACCGTAGGCGATATATTGTCGTCGAAGTGCCGTAAGAGATAAAAAATCAATAAATTAGCGTAATGGCGTCTAGGAATTTAATTATTAGTTGGATCTCATCGTCAGGAGCCGTGTTTGGTCGCGTGCTCGCATAATTTATTAGGCAATAAACATTGAACTTAATGCAACTGCATATAACATTGAATTATTCATTTCCCATACAGACATTAAAATATAACTCTGTAAATTTGACATTAGCACTGACACATATTGTTGTCTCTATTTTTTTCAAGGAGAATGAGGGAGAAAGCAATAGAAACTTTGGAAAGCCTTGTTTAAATATCGAACAATTATAAAGCAATCGTAGCACATGCATTAGCAAAATGCTATTGAGGGATAATTTTGCTACTACTTGAGATCGACGCTTTCGAATGTAGTAATGATAGCTTGTATATATTGATGAATGACTCCTTCACTACAAAAACAACACACAACTCACGCTAGTAACCCTGACTTGTAGGCAAAGAACAAACGACAATGATCTTAAAGCTAAATACGTCATTTTTAGTAAAAAGATGAGATCTAATTTAGTGTTCAAGATTTTTAGTTTTAAATTGCTTGTCGGTATAACTTCGTAAAGTTCTCTTGAGGTACAGATATTCCGAAGTCACCTCATTTCTCTTTATGCAATCAGGGAGTGCCCGGACCGAGTCCGTCTCCAGGGGACGCGATGCAATTCTACAAAATAATCTTTCCAGGCGATGTCTAAGATGTAAATTTTTATTTACGAAAAAGAAAAGTTATGAGGACAATGTAACATCGTAAAAGTATTTTTTTAATTGAGTGGTTGTTTGAATTATCACTTGAAGGCTTTGATATTGTACTTACTTGATAAAATTTCCAATTTAGAATCCTTTTTCCTTTTCATAGATACTAATAAAAAAATGAAGAGAGCGTCGGTGGCTCAGTGGTCAAGCACTTGACTTGCAATCCGCAGGTCCTGGGTTCGAATCCCGCCATGTACTTTGTAAATCGAAAAACACATGTTTTTCGATTTACATATGTACATTTATCCGACGTTCTTACGGTGAAGGAAAACATCGTGATGCAACCTGCACATATCATATGTGTGAAGTCAACCAACCCGCACTTGACCAGCGTGGTTGACTATGGCCTAATCACCCTTAACTTTGGGTAGGCTCCGAGCCCCTCGGCGGGACGTATAGTGAGCTGATGATGATGATGAATAAAGAAATGTTGCGACGTGTTTAAATAAATAAAAATGACCTATAAATTCACAAATGTCACATATCAAACGGAAACCATAAACAAAAACTAGAAAAGCTAGAGACGTTTATTGACCTTCATTTAAAAAATAAATTCGCAGCACGGAGCGGAAACGGTGGCCTTTCATTGTTTTTGCGATAGTGAATCATTCACTTCATACAACTCTTACAAAAGTCGCCATTGAATGTGGACTAGATCCAGTCTAGCTAAGTAGTTAGACTTTACAAAAACTAGTATCAATTATAGAGACCTGACGATATTGTACAGGATGTTATATTAAATTGATGAACTTCTAAACAAGTTACTAACGTGAGATCAGCTTGACGAGATTAAATCGTGAATTTTATAAGCTCACTATACTCCTATTATCTCCTCTTTATAACGGGTGTGAATTGAGTTTCTGTATTTATGGTTTTTAAATAAAAAAGAGAAATTGTTGACGTCTTATAATATAAATGTTAAAATAATGTTTAAATTGGACTGGATATAAGCAGCTAGTAAATGATTAACTAATTATAATATTCTTTACCAAGGTCACTTGTCGCCCTTCGAATTATGTAAAACAAGTGACATGTGATTCATCGTTCATTCACATCGAATGTCATGTCCATAATAAGTTGTGAAGATCAATGTCAATTGTTTATCCATTCAATCAATGAATTATAATCGTCGTAGATATGGTGGTGACCATAAAACGACTCTATTTATGCTAAAAGCAAGGTCACAGTTGTTGTCATAAGTTGCAAATAATATATACTTTTTTACATTAACCTGACACAATATTATCTTATTTCTGTGACCACAGATTATTATTTGTTAATGCCCGCGACGAAGGATATTGTTTATCAATTGTATGTTGATGTTTATGTAATGACCTTGAGTAACTGAAACGTTATCTTACTAATATTACAAATGTGATGGTTTAGATGGATGGATGGATGGATCTTTGCTTGAAGGTGTCTACGGAAAGGCTCAATGGAACTTGATGAAATTTGGCAGAAATGTAGAATATAGTCTGGAAGAAGACATAAGCTAATTATTACGTTTTTTTAATTCCGCGCAGACGAAGTCGCAGACGACAGCTCGTCAATTTATAAAAGTGAGGTGTCATTTGATTTTTTTTCGAGTTGAGCTTATTAATTAATTAATAGTCTTATTATTGCACAGATTATGGGTTACACTGATAATGTATGCTTAATGATACACGATCAAACAGCTACGGAGGTATTAAAAATTATTACTCATATATAAACTTTAAATTTTAATTACCGCCGCTTTAATCAGTTGACATAGTTTTCCGGTAATTGGTATTTCGATGAATTCTAAAAAAACTTGAACTACTATGACGATAACTTGCATTAAATATTTATGTATCTATATTATAATTATAACACCACATTTTTATACTTTTAAAGGCAACGTTAAATTGGTCTTGAGTAATCAGTGGCTAGTCGATTGATGTTACTTTACCGTTAGGAGTAAATAAGTGTTAGGTCGGTTAAAAGGCAAATAATATCTCTTACGGTTCTGATTACGGAAGACTGACCTTGGTCATTGGCGTTTCCAAATCTCCAAATAAGCTATGAAACGCTAACTATTTCGACAGGAAGTACTATGTATAAGGTAATTTATTTGTTAGTTACTTCTCCACTCTACTTGGACATTGTTAAACATGTTCTTAATGTAAAAACAAATAAAAATCTAGTGACGTCACAAATCACAATATGTGAAATTACTAAAATTATAGCATTAAATGTGCCATTTCATTAGCTACAAACATTGAACTTTTTATATGGACAGCGTATAAACTGCCGTATTTTGTGCCTATTTGATCTTCGCAATTTTGGCGGTTGCGTTTTTTAGCGATGATGAGTATTATACCTAATAATAGATATAGAGTTAAACTGTCATATCTACGCAATGACCTATCCATTTATAGAGATCAGTGGCTACAACACTCCATACGCCGGAAGTAGTATTCTTGAGCACACCAATATACCAATTAACGAAAAAAAAAATTCATGGCTCTATTCCAATTTGACTGCTACTGTAGCATAATTGTATAACATACTAAATTTATTTTTAACGGAGATCGTAAAAAATTAACTGCATTTGATAGATTTATATTACGTACATTACAACACGTTTAAGTGTTTTGTCATATTTAAAAAGAAAATATAAAACTTCCGGTGCCCACGCCGTGTCTATCTTGTTATGTTTTATTAATACTCGTTCAATCACAGCGAGAGATGGGATCGTAAACCTACTTGTAGTCAATGATATATATTTTAATTTATTAACGAAAATTTTAATTACATTTTTGTGTTTAAAAATTACATAAAATTTATACAGTTATTTAAAAGTTTAAGTAAAAGAGAATGAGCATTGGATTCAATCGATATTTTTTAAGCAATCATACATACATCATAGATTTTTTTTTATTTTATGATTTTAGTAGATATTTTATTCATAAGAAAGCACGCGCTGCTGCTCGAGTAGTCTTTTCGATCCGACATTGTGGATTGTCTGACATTTTTGTTTGTTTATATTCGGTTTGAATTAGTATTATTGTGGGAACAATACTATTATGGAAACTATTTAAATAGTTAGCGAAATATGTTTGTTATTTCGCTGTTAGTTCTTTTGAAAAAATACACTTTTGTATTAAACATCTAACAATATTCTAATTAACACATTAAGTAAACAATAGTTTAAAATATGTGTTTCAATGAAAACGGTTTCTATGTTTATCAAGTTAATATTTTGAATGTCTCGGTAAGAATAAAATGTTAATACAAAAGTGATATATGAATGTAAACAGAGTTCAATAAATAGGAGCATAGGGGATATTTGTCTTGT